ATTTCAAATAAATGTCATTAACTGAAGAACAGGAAAAACACAGAGGAAGCAAAGGGGCAGGATTTTTCACTGAAGGAGCTGAGGGTGGGGGATGGAAGGGAGGGAGCCCAAGTAAATAAAGCACCCCAAGAACGGAAATACACAGTCTCCATTACTCAGAAGAACTGGGCACTTGCCGAAGTAGGACAACCTTGGAGATTTTAATTTGTTCCCTCACTAATAAACAAGAAGCACTGATAACGCTCCTTGATAATACTTCCTCTGGAATGTACAACATTCCATGTTTCTGCTCCTTAGTCACTACCGGACATGCATGAGTCAGACTGAGAGGTAGGGAAATTGCCAGGCTGCTCATGGGACCACTGAAGGTATAGTCCGGCCCATAGATGTGATCTTGCCGTGCTTCTTTCTCTTTCAACTCATCTTACATTAGGAGTGATAGGTGATTTATCTTTGGATAAAGAATGTAGTGAATCATCTGTAGACCATGAATTAAACTGGAAAACCAACTGGCAATTATCTAGTGCTTATGAATGGTGGGAGCAACTAGTCTGAATGTGATGGACCAAAATATGCTGCCCACAATTCTCCCAGTGGCTTAGAAAATTAGGTCAATGGAAAAATTCAGTTTTCTGGGTTTTGTTTTCTTTGTGTCTAAGCTTGACCAGGTAAGAATGGCTGTACATACCATGTTTTAAGGATCTTTGTCCTACTTAGTAAGCCTACCGAGGTCCTACTTAGTAAGCCCCTGGCCCAGGGAACTGTCTCCTGGTGGTCGGGAAGAAATCTTGAATTTCTCGGGTAAACCCAATCTAATCCACATGAAGGATGACAGTCAGTTCTAACTGTAAATGAGCAGACTAGCCATCTTGGCCCACCTTCAGTAACACATAATAAGTAGAGATTCAGACATATTGGAATCCTATTCCATGCACCCAGAAAGAAACATGCTGGCCAGACTGACCAAGAGTGATTGCTGAAAAGTTTCATAAATCCTTACATGCATGTTGCATTTAGAGACAGTTCCACTTATATCTTGAAGAAATCCATCTGCTCATTGGGCTTCTGGACCATTTTACTAAATCACAGTTCACAAACTGACAGAGACATATGTATGTTCAGTTCGATATACACAAACTTTTTTCTTTTCTTTCTTTGTTTTAATGCTTTCAGGTGCTACAAACTGTCTAGTTTGCCCCAGGTCCACCACCCCCTATTATGTTACATCCAAAATCATTTGGGTGAGAACCACAGAGTGTAGTGTCCTATTGTACAGCATAAGGAAAAAGCCAAACATTGGCCTCACTGATTTAGCCCCATTCATATTAATTAATGAATTGTATTTCTTTTTCCGGATGAAGACCATACCATGTTTTTATATATGCAGTTGTTCACATATATAAATTGTGAACATCTCAGTGTACTCTTGATGTTTGCTATATCCTTTGAAAGGAGTGAAAAAGGGGTGCCTGGGTGGCTCAGTCAGTTAAGTGTCTGCTTTTGGCTCAGGTCATGATCCAAGGGTCCTGGGATGGAGCTCCGCATCGGGCTCCCTGCTCAGCACACAGTCTGCTTCTCCCTCTCCCTTTGCTCCTCCCCCTGCTCATGCTCTTTCTCTCAAATAAATAAAATCTTTTAAAAAAAGAAGAAGAAAGGAGTGAAGAAATGAATCAATTAGTTGCAAGCATATTTTAATTACCTGCTAGATGCCAAATGATTTGCAAGAAACAAAGAGGGAAGGGTGCACATTTATTACATATTTAATAGGTACTAGGAACTTGTGCTAAGCACTGCACAGACATAATCTGTTTTGCTTTTTTTTTTTAAATTATCTTCACGGGCACCTGGGTGGTTCAGTCGGTTAAACGTCTGACTCTTGAATTCAGCTCAGGTCTTGATCTCAGGGTCGTGAGTTCAAGCCCCGCTTTGGGCTCCATGCTGGGCATGGAGCCTACTTTAAAAAATAAAATAAAATAATCTTCAGAGTTACTCTATGAGAAATAGGTATGACACTGTCATCCCATTCTATAGCTGAGGAAATTGAGGCTTGGAGAGCTTGCTCAAGGTCACACAGTGTATAGCAGAGCAAGGTTTCAGACCTAGCTCTTTCTGATTGCAGATAGAAACCCTTATTTGTCTGGTCATGCTGCCATAAAATACTAATAGCTTATTAAGGGTGTATTTCTGTGTCTTATTATATATATTATCTTCATTTAACTTTCACAATAAGTCTATGAAAGACTATTATTATCCCAGTTTTATAGTGAGAAAACCAAGAAGTCAAAAAAAAAAAAAAAAAGCTTAAATTTACATAACTAATAAAGGCTAGAGCTGTGACTCAAACCCAGGTCTTACTCCAGAGTTAATGGTCTAATGTGCCCCCTTCCACACAATGGAAGCTACTATTAATATGTTTTAAAAGCAGCCAAAAAGAAAGTCTGCATAAGATGTATTTATACAGCAATTCATAATAGAAGAAAGCTACTTGGATATGGATTTTTTTTTCTCGTAAGCCTCTACATAGTATTTCTGGGCATATCCATTTTATAAAGAGGGCTAAGTTGAATGTGTTTTTAATTTTCTTAGAGCAGCTACTCTTTAGGAATGTCTTTCACTTCTTAAATGTCCACATATTCAAGTAGATCTAAGGTTTCTCCATCAGGGCTCTAAAGAAGAACCACCATTGCAGGTGATACCCTCTACGGGCCTATCCCTTTAGGGAACAATTTAAGAAGTACAAGACAGATGTCCAGCCAAGTCCTGTAGCTACACCAAAATGTAGCATGTCATAATAGGATTACATATGAAAGAAGAGGGAATGATACCACAAGAGAATAAATTTTAAGTACCAAATGAGTGCAAAAAAGTAGATGTTATAGTAGTTTATAGGAGAGCAAGATCTGCCGCAGCTCTGGAGGTCAAGAAAGAGGGCAAAGTAAGATGATTAAAAAAGAAGGTTTTGAGTTGTCCAGATATGGTTTTAAATCTACCTATATGACTTTGAGCAAGTAAGTTATTTGATCTCTCTCAGAGATCTGTAAAATGGGAATTTTGAGATTAGATAATAAATTTTAAATGTTTCCCACGGTGCCCTGTTTCTTCTTATTGTATAATTGTTTGCCAGTCTCCTCCATTAGGCTGTAACCTCCTCAAAAACTGGATCTGTGTCCCGCTCATCTTTGTGTCTCTCAGCCTTTGGTACAGTGTTTAAGTTCATCCCCATGCCTGATGTTTCTTTCTGTGCGAAGGATATTCCATTATCAGATTACTCCTGCCCTCTCCGGGCTTTTACATAGTCCACATGAGGAGAAGTGAATCGATTACTTGACTGGAGGAGAAGTGAATGGTTTACTTGACTGGTGAGTCAGAAAGAGCTCACTCTATGCCACTCTCCATGTTCTCTTTGGAATGAATTTTCTACAGGAGCATACAGTCTCTTGCACTCTTCTATACTGGGAATCTTACTGTCCAGTGCTGCCACCACTGAGTGGGCAAGCCTACCTATTTCTGAGGTTTAGTAATATAAAGCACATTTCCATACAGATACTGAAGAGTACAGGGAGACCTGGTTGGAAAGGTAGATTCAAACCAGATTATGGAAAAGATCTTGTTATGACTTTATGGCATGGCATTTCAGCAAATTCCTTAAAATGTATGGATATTGATAAAGAATGGAAAGAGTCTACATAACTAAGCCCAAAATATATTTGGGCTTTTGTTTGTTTGTTTGTCTGTTTTTGGCGTTTGGATATTTTTATAGTGAGGGATGGATGGTTGATTTGGGGGGTTTTGTTTTGATTGTGTTGAGGAGATAAGGATAAGGTGTCAGTTTTTTAAAATTTTGTACAGAATTCACTTCGGGGTTTTTTTTAAGTTATTATATATGAAGGCATTAATAAACCCATCATTTGATGAATAGACCTGTTAAATTAGGTGGGTTTTTTTTTTAATTTTTATTTATTTGACAGAGCTAGAGAGAGAGACAGCAAGAGAGGGAACACAAGCAGGGGGAGTGGGAGAGAGAGAAACAGGTTTCCTGCTAAGCAGGGAGCCCGATGCAGGGCTCGATCCCAGGACCCTGGGATCATGACCCGAGCTGAAGGCAGACGCTTAATGACTGAGCCACCCAGGTGCCCCAATTTTTTTGTTTTTTTTTTTTTAACCAAGTGTGGTCTGGGACCATCTGCCTCAGAAATACCTGGAGAGCTTTAGAATACAAATTTCTATGCCTCACTTCAGATCTGCCTGATCAGAATCCTTGGGGTTGAGGCCTAGGAATATGAGTTTAACATTCTCCTCAAGTGATTTTTATGCTTATTGTATTAAGGGCATCACCTGCCAACAGACAGGCTAATTCAATTTAAGTGTATCTACAAGAGGAAATTGTGTGTGTGTGTGTGTGTGTGTGTGGTTATTGCTAAATCAGATTATTGACCAGAATGATTACCACTATATTCCCTTTTTCCTGTAGACCAGGGCAGTCCTGCTTACTCAGCCAAGGATGTCATCAAAACCCCAGCTGGGCCTTTTGTATATGTCCATTTCATGTCTCACTGAGAGGTCTTATGAACAAAAACTAGAAAAACTATAGACAGTTTTAAAACCTTTTTAAATTTACAGACAGGGCACGTGGGTGGCTCAGTCGTTAAGCATCTGCCTTCGGCTCAGGTCATGATCCCAGGGTCCTGGGATCGAGCCCTGCATTGGGCTCCCTGCTCAGCGGGAAGCCTGCTTCTCCCTCTCCCACTCCCCCTGCTTGTGGTCCCTCTCTCGCTGTGTCTCTCTCTGTCAAAAAATAAATAAAATCTTTAAAAAAATAAAATAAATTTACAGACAAACACACACTTTAAAAAAAAACAAGAAGAACATTTGCAGTTCTTCCAAAGAATCCTAGCTTCATGGAGTTTTCCTCTTGGGAGTCTAAATGACTAGAGGAAATAGGCAGGAACTTCACAGGAACATTCTTAGGCATCCATTGCAAGCTTATACCCACACGCTGCCTTCCTTCTGTTTGAAAGTGTGGGGAAATGCTCTGCTTAAGCCTGCTTTGTTTCTCTGTATAGATCATGCAACAGATGAGTGACCACCGCTATGACAAACTCACTGTGCCTGATGATGTGGCCGCCAACTGTATATACCTAAATATCCCCAGCAAAGGCCACGTCTTACTACACCGCACCCCAGAAGAATATCCAGAAAGTGCAAAGGTAAAAAAACATCCTTCCTGGCCACTGCAGCTGCGTAGTCCTCTCCGTGACAGTCTTCCTGCCTGGGGATTTTTTTCATGATGGACTGACAAATAACAGGGACTTCCTTTTCCTCTATACAGGTCAAATCATTATGAAAGCAGAGAGGATACTATAATTTTAGGGCACAAGGAAAGTTAATTTAACTCACTCTTCTCATTCATGTCACTGATCACGAATGCATGCACAATAATTGAGGTGATCATGCCTGGTATTCAAAACTTTTCAAATAAGTACTTAGATCTCCCAAGTCTATGCTGCAGTTCTGATTACATGTATCTCCCCACACTTAGATACTCACTAGGCATAGAGACCTACAATTAGATGGTCAACTGTGTCATTGTTTTCTGACGAATCTGAGCTGCCCTTCGTCAGAAAGGCATTTGTTTTTTAACGACAGAGAAGTGTGAATGACACAAAGAGGTGGGTGCTCATTGTCAGGGCTGCAAAAAGGGGGCTTTTGGCTGTGCATCCCAGGTAGTGAAGGATCAGAAAGAGCAAAAAAGATGATATACTTGCCATCAGGCACCTGTCCCTCTAAGACCTTCTGCATTTGTGCCCCAACACAGGAATTGTCCCCAGATACGGAACTCTTTCCTGGTCTAAGAAGATGTTCCTTGTCCTTCCGGGCACTCTGCCAGTCTCTTCTGCACACGCAGACATAGCAGCGCTCATCCATAGACCCTCCAAGTGTCCATATCTGTTTCAGCATCTTCATCTCTGCCCAGAGGAATCATATGCTTACACTCAGCATTACAGAAGAGCCTTTAATTGCCACTGATTTTTTTATTTATGTATCTTAAAAATTTTTATTTTTAAAAATTTTAGAAAATATTTTGGCCACCTTTCAGATATGTGATATTGTGTAAGCACTATGCTTATCTTCTGAATCAGTCATCTTCTTAGCAGATAAAAAGAAAAGGGTGGGGAGATACTTAGATGATTTCTCTGTTTCCATGGCTGAAAGTGTGAACCTGAGGAAAATAGAGGACCCCTGACCCCAGAATGGGGCTTAACCAGCTCTCAGATGAATAGAGGGTCTCATACGTTATTGTGCATTAGGATTGTTAAAAATGCAGCTTCCTAGACCCCCACCCTAGAATCTGCAATTTCAACAAGCACCCGGGTCACAGAACTCACTTGGAGAAACACAGCTCTGGACCGTTCATCCTTCTCCAGCCACACTGATCATCTGACGACCAGATGATGATTAACTGCTTTGGATTCAGCCCTGTGTCTATCCACAGTAACGATGATAACATCCACGTTCACCGAGACTTCCCCTGCGCCAGGCACTGGACCAAGCCCAGTGTGTGCATTATCTTAGTTATACCCCACAGCAGCCCTGTGGGGGCGCTCTTGTTAACTCTAATTTTACCGAATAGTAATCCAAGGCTAAGAGGGCATCTGGCACTTGGCTGAAGTCACATTTTAGGTGGTGAGTTGACAGAACTAGGTTTGGAGCCCAACTCTGGCTCCAGCACTCTTAATTAGCCACTGTAGTGAATTTTAAGGAACAAAGTGCTTCCTAAAGAAGCATGGTAGATTGTTTTTTAGACAGTGTGTTTCAAGTGATTTTGTATTTTTAAAAAAATGTGCTTTATTTGATCATCAGAGAAACATCTGTGGCCTGTTAATTCGAAGTTTGGACACATGCTTTCTATTAGTGTCAAAAGATGCTGTAAAATTCACACCTGTAATTTAAAAGCAGTTTGACCTGAAATGATTCACTTAAAGTCTGTTTTGTCAAGTTCTTCCAGTGGTGTTGGAAGGAAAGAGACCTTACAGTACAGTTGAGGGGGTTTTAAAGTGTGGTGAGGAAGGATTCTCAGACTGAAAACACCACCACTAGCTCTCCCATATCACTCAACGTTCCTGTGACAACGGCAGAGTGAAGTCATCTCTCGTGACAACCACATTTTTGACACATCTCTGGCTTTGAGGTTAAAGCATAGAGCTCGTGGTTAACCAGTGCCGCCTGCTCCGTTGGTATGGCTGGGGGCACGTGTGGTCTCTAGACTGCATGCACGTCTTGGGGTTCAACAGCTGAGAAGCCTGAACTCGAAAGCCAAATGCATTTTCACACTAGGCGAGGAGGTGGGGGGGAGCGGCAGGGATGAGACAGAGGCGGAAACATAATCCTTCTGCTTTACCTTTCCTTGATTCCTGCTGCAGGTTTATGAAAAGCTGAAGGACCATATGCTGATCCCCGTGAGCCATTCTGAACTGGAAAAGGTGGACGGGCTGCTCACATGCAGCTCGATTTTAATTAACAAGAAGGTAGACTCCTGAGTCGAAGTCCCCCCCCACCCCCCCCACCCCCC